TATCGCACCCAAGCTGTCTAGGTTATTTCAATTTGATTTTTGGTGACCATTTCAATGGAGTCAACAAAATTTTACATCAACAGTCAATATTAATATTTTTCTTCTCGTCCTCTCAATTAATAATTTATAGTTAAATTTAATGTTGTGTAATTTCTTGATTTTGATGAAACCAAAATCAAATATAATTGCATGAACATAAAAAAAAACATAATTAAGTGTGCTAGATTTCAACAAAAGATTAAATGATTCTTTATAAAAGAAAATTAAGCATATATCATCTTAAGACCATATTATACAATAAAGAGCTATTTCTGAAACATGGTCTAAACAAAGAGATGAATGGTTTGATGAAATCTTGTCCATGCCATCGTCTCATCGTCTGACTTTGGATCATCTTATTCAAAGCTTCCCTAATATGCTTCAAATGTTCAAAGCACTATGTGTGACACCTAAATGGAGACGTAACAACGAAAATTAAATTTTATGAATACGTGTCTTAACATAAAATTTATAATTTATAACGTTAAAATATTTAAGTGAATTTAACGTCATATCAAACATGCAATAAAATTGATATATCCTTGAGTTCCAACCTAAAGTATTTTATTTATTTATTTTTAACTGGTTGGTGGGTGAAATCTAAAGAGATTTATTAAAAAAGAATGTTTCAGTTCTAGCCCATCGAGCTAGTGATGAAAATTATTATTTTTTATACAATCATGATGGTTTTGACAAAATTTTACATATAGGTTTGTAGCTATTTTTATATATTCATTTTGAATTCTGTAATATTTTTATTTATTTACTGTATGGCGGTATACCATTTATTTGTTGATTGATTCTAATGTTAAATATGAATTAAAAACTCTAATACCGAATAATTTCATGATTTTTTAATTTTATACAATTGAGTATAGATTTAATGTCGGATTAGAGCTTAATTTTAGTGCATTGACAGTATAAATATTTTTACTTTATTAATTAAGTAAAATATGTTATGGATATAATTTTTATATTAATTATAAAAAAATTAAATTTTTTATTGATATAACAATTTATGATTAGGCGACGGTATAAACAAATATTATAATGTCAGAGTATTTAAATTAAATCTAGATTTAATAGTCACAAAATTTAATGTTAGGTTTATCATTTTTAATAAAATGAGAAAGTGAGTAAAATAATTTTTTATTATATAATACTAGTTTTTTTAAACATTAATATTTTATTAAAAACAAATTTAAAATACGAGAATATTATATCTCATTACAATTATGAAAGAAATTAACAATATATATTAAGATTATTAATTCAATTTATATATATAATACATCTTTTTAAAAGCTTTTATGCAATTTATTTTAAAGAATAATATTTAATAAAATCAAATATTTTACTGATATTTGTTATTAAATCTTACATATCGTGTGAAATTAAAATAAATATAAATATATCATCATAATATCTCAAATATTTATTCATAAATATATAATATTTATCTTAATTATTTTTAATAAAATGAAATTCTTAAAAGTTTTTTAATAATTTTTTTAAAGTCCCATACATCACATGGGTTGAGATCTAGCTCGGGATTAAAGTCGCGAAATGATATCAATACCTATACACTTTATTAGCGTACATCAAATAATTGAATTAACTTTTGAAATATAAAATGTTAAACTTAGACATAAAATCCAGACCTTTACACTTATTTATTTGTTTATTAAATAGCTTCTCAATACCTAAAATGTTAAAATATTGACTGAATTGTGTTATTACTAAGCCTGCTCAGTAACATAATTATACTAATACATTTGCATATTATATATCATTTGGAACAAATAATACCTTAGATATGCATGCTATCAATAACATAACATGTAATTAAAGCTAATTAAAATCATATATAACAAAAAATATTCGTTTGCATTCAATTTTTTTTTTTGGGTTTATTTGTGTCTATTTTATTTTCAAATAACTCTTAATAGTAAAAAGTAAATAAATTATGAAATTAAATGTTTATTTATCATTAATTTCTATGTTTCATTTCATAAGAATTTTTAAAATTTAAATTAAAATAAATAGTTTTTCCCTTTTATTTTAAAAGAAATAATTCTTTTTATTATAATCTTTATTTTTACATTAAATATATTATATATTTTAATGTGATTTTAATCATCTATCTTCATATATAATTTGTGAGATTTAATTTTTGAATAAAACTATTTTAAGAAGTATCTTACATGAAAGTACGTTTAGGTGTTAATTCGCTTTCTTATCCTGCCAACTTTCATGTGTTTTGCATTTAAAATTGTTAATTTAATTTTATATTCCTTATTTTAAAAAATGATGAATCTTTAATTTAATCTTATTTTTAAAATTACAGGTACCTCCTACTTTCTATCAGTTAATCAATGTGTTTATAATTAATTTGGCCTTATTTAACATAAAGTTATATTTATTAATAATAATTAAAGCATCCACATTTTGAAATTTATGAAGTTGATTACATTTAAAAAATAAAATAAACTTTAAATTTATATTTTATATTAATTATAATAAATTAAATATAATTTATATTTTAAATTTTAAATATTTTCAGTTTTAATTACATATATGCTTTTTCAACAATTTTTACTTTGTCTATCTTATCGATCAAATGATATACGCTTCCTTTTATCTCGCCATTTATCCTATATTTTAGGTGAGAAGAAAGAATGCAGAATAAAAGAAAATTTTATAAAATTTAATAATTAATTTTTTTTCTTTATATATTTTTAGTCTGTTTTTAAAATCACTTTTTCTTCAATCAAATACACACACACACACACACACACACACACACACACACATATATATATATATATATATATATATATATATATATATATATATATATATATATATATTAAAAAAGCCACACTAAATGAATTTAACATTTTCTTTTTTTAACTTCTGAAGTGCATGTCCTTTATGCTTTTAGCTATATGTAAAAATAGTTATATTTTAAACAGTTTCAGCTTTTTTTTTTTTGGTTTAATACGTATTTCATCTAAATAACATTTTTTCTTTCTTTCTATTATTTGCGTAAATAAATGGAAGAGATATCTATTCAAAGGACTGTTGACAAGAACAACTAAGGGAAGGTTGCCACTTGTTATTATAGTCAGATAGCTCTGGGACAACATGGAGTACAAGAGTTCAATTAAATATTTTTAACTTATAAATATATAACTGAAGCATACTGTTTAAATATAAATTTAATTCAACACTATAGTTTAATAATATATTATTATAAAAAATCATTAATTTTTGTATTGATAAATATAAAAATCACGTGTACAATATATTTTAATTAATAAGTAGCATAAAGATGTTTACGTGAACAGGATAGTAAAATTAATCTATTTAAATATCTTTTAAAAAATATATATAAATTTTTTAATTAATCTGATTAATTATTATACAATAAATGTAATAAGAATCCATTTGATTTTTAAAAAAATATGTTAAGTAATTTTTAAGAATAAGTTTTAAATTATACTTTTTTATTTATAAAATATTTTACTAAAAAAGAATTTAGCAAGTTGTATAAAGCACTTTAATTTACCATCTTAACTCATAGGTCACTGATTAACCTTCATGATGGAATTGATAATGGTACATCTTGAGGGGACGCTTGTCTAAGTCATCATTTAACAGATTTATTCTGATATATTTCAAAGTTTTATGCATTTGTATAATATTTTTTTGTTTTTTCAATTATATTATATTCATTATTTTTGTTCCTATATCTTACTAAAAATATATAGCTTATGAGTACGTGACAACTATTTTCCATTCTAACATTATAAACAAAAAAATTAATATCACAATTTAGTCTGTAACAATCTTCATCTAAATTCTTCATTTCAACAACCTACGACATTTTATTATGTTAATCTTTAATATAATTCTACCATTCAATAAAAGGTTGCTTCCGAACAGAAACTAAATGGTAGCCCCCCAAGTCTTTGGAACTGGAATGCCCTGTAGTTCAAATTGTTTCCTTAATTTATCTGCAATTGATAAACACAAAATTTAGTGGGCAACGCACGTGATTTGTGCAGCTTTTGCCTGAAAATAAAATAAAATCCCATAAGCTTATTTATTTAATAAATCAACCACAAAGCATTACACACCGTAAAAAGCAACCAGTGGCCATCAAAATCTCCTTTTTAATGGTGATTGAAAGCATCACATCAGAATGATATTATTACATTCAGCAAGTAATTACACATACGTATCCCATAATAACGTGCAAAGTAGAAAAAAGGGGAAGAGGAAAACATTGGTTAAGGTGAATAGTTAAAACAATAAAACACACAGACTTTGGAACTCAAGTACAAGATTTAGGTACAGTTTTTAAAGTTTTATCTCTATAATTTAAAATTGACATGTATTATGAGATAAAATTTTAATTTTAAATAAAATACAATATAAAGAATACTTATAATAACATAAATTTTTTGTCCTTAAAAATTAAGAATGGAAAAATGCAAGTCGGTTGATGATGACATAAGCTAAGAGTGGAGGCTTCCATAATATTGAATCTGAGTAGCTAGCTGTGTCTTATTCTGGTGCATTGAGGACCAGGTTGGAATTGGATGTGCATCTATCTCTATTCTCTAGTCTTTTTCGCATAACAAGTCATTTCTTTCAAGTTCCACTCACCATTACCAAACTTGAGCTCTCTCTCTCTGTCCCCTACCAATACACACTCACAAACAATTCTCCAATCAATATAAGAATATTCTTTTCATCTCAAGCGGTGGAAAAGTCTCCACCACCATCCATCTTCTATCCACCATATGTAGTATTTGTATTCATCATATTCATTCATTCAAGTGTTTTGACATCTTCTTTCAATGCTGCTTCATTTAATGTCAAGTCTCACTCTCATTCTGGATCACTGAGCTGATTCTTTTAATGTCTAGATAGTGAAAAGGTTTGATCTTTAATTAGCCCAAGTAATCGATAGCGGTTTCAATGAATTTGTGTTTCTTTCTTCTAAATTGATCCTGCTTGTGTCTATTTGATTTGATTATGGAAGTTGGCAATTGGGTTTGACCGGTAGTTTCTGATTTTTGGTATAGCTTGAAAACATGAACACAAGGGTCATTACTAGGAAAGCTCCAATTCCAATTTAATAGCACATGAGAAAAGTAATTGAAGTTGCTGAAGTCTGAAGTCAGACAAGGGTACATTAACATTCATGTCCTATGCGGGTTTGAAAAACAGTTTGTACAGTAGCCCATCTTCATTATTTTTATTATTAAAGTATTTGAGGAGTGTAACAGCTTTCATCACAAACTTTGGCTTCGGTTTCAATGAGCAAACGCTTCATAGAGATCCCAGAAGTTCTGAAAAAGTCAGCATTTTTGCGATAAGATAAAAAAGTATGACACGGATCAGTTAATGCTTTTGAAGAGGGTGTATACAGAAAAAAAATGAAAAAATCGTTTCATAATTTATGATTAGTTATTGATTCTGAACACCTTTCAAACTCTTCTGGTTTCTGTTGTTTACTTTGCCCCTTTGTTAGCTTTTAGGATTTGATATTCTTATTTTCCTTGTAGTTTTTTTTTTCTTCTTTGATGGATTCTAACCTCTTCAACATTGAATGAGAAGGTAGATGATGCAGGGAAGCTTGAGAAATGCACATAAAAGGGGGAAAGCCTCTAGCAGAGAAAGAAAATTGGCATTGCAACAGGATGTAATGCAATGGCACTGTTTCTTTTTCCTTGTCCTTATTTGGGTATGGCTTCATTGTCTATATAACTGGAAACTGAGTTGAATTCTCCAACTTTCAGGTGGATAGGTTGAAGAAGAAGCTTAGGCATGAAGAGAACATTCACAGGGCATTGGAGAGGGCTTTCAATAGACCTTTGGGAGCTTTGCCTCGTCTTCCTCCTTATCTCCCTCCTTATGTTAGTATATGAATTTCTCTCTTTTTATGCTGTCAAGTCCTTTTCTAAACAAGTACTCTTGTCTGTAGCTATGTTAGAGAGAGATTTGACTGCGGAATTTTAATGTTAAAAACTATAGATACTGGCCCTTCTGGCTGAAGTGGCAGTTCTGGAAGAGGAAATTGTTAGGCTTGAAGAGCAGGTTGTTCATTTCAGACAGGATTTGTACCAGGAAGCTGTCTACATGTCATCTTCTAAGAGGAAACTGGAACACTCAGTTTCATCTCCTTCAAACAATTCAAACCCAACATTGGATAGTCCCAAGTTGGATAAATTGAAGTCTCTTTACCATTCAGCTGGTAATCCATCTGCAGCTAGGCCTGCCACAACACTCACTGGTGAGAAACTCCATCATCATTATGCTTCACTTGTTCGGGTTAATTAACTGATGTTTCATATTTGAGCCTACATTTTTCTGAAGCTCAGTTTGTGCCAAAATGAGTGTATTCAGTCCCTCATATGAGGTTTGTGCCTGTTGTTTGGTTTGCCAGAGGATAGACAAGGGAAAGAGAATCAATCCTGTACTAATTCTTCCAAAAGCAGGCAACAATCCTCCAACCAAATGACCAAAACTCCAATTAAAAAACTCCATTTTGACAATAAATCACCGCAGAAAAGGTGTCATCCTTCAAAAGGGAAGGTATGTCATGCGTACTATAGAAGTAATTTTCAGTTGTGCAATAGGGCTAGTAGGTGAAATTTGAAGTTTTTTCTTAAAGTCAATGAATGTGAACTTTTCCAATGTGCAGCAAGAACCAAGGGTGAATAGCCAGAAAATTGTAGATGTAAGAAATCCTAGTCTACGTAAAAATTCACAAGAAGTTGACAGCCCAAATGTAATTTCAGAGAATATTCTAAAGTGCTTATCAAGCATTCTCTTGAGAATGAGTTCTGTGAAGAATCCAGGTTCTGCTGTTGACATACCATCCTTATGGGGTTTAAAACCTCAAAGCTGTGTTGAAGGAACCGAGTATTGGGATCCATATGGTATCTGTTCGGAATTTGAAAAGAGGGACATTGGTCCATACAAACAACTATGTGCAATTGATGCTAAATCTTTCAATCCAAAACGAACTGCAAATACTTTGTTTTTGCTAAATCGGTTGAAGTATGTAATATTTTATTCAAATTACAATACTGTTTTCTTTTCCATGACACTATTTCTGTGTTAATTATAATTAGAGTTCTTATAGTGTCATGACTTTGGGAAAATTTCAGACTTCTATTTAGGAAACTAGTTTCTGTCAACTTAGAGAACCTCAACCATCAGGAGCAGCTTGCATTCTGGATCAACATCTATAACTCGTGTATGATGAATGTATGTCAATCATATCCAACAACATTTAATATAATCTGTATCTAAACGTTTCTTATTTTTTACACAATTTATTATCCTTTTTATTCAGTAATTAGAATAGTCCATCTTAAGTGGAGCACTTAATTATCTTCTCAAACCATAATAAAGGGCGGTATTCAAAATTCTACTTTGCTTCAGGCATTCATAGAGAATGGCATACCAGAGAGTCCTGAAATGGCAGTTGCACTGATGAGGAAGGTATGAACTATTCTGCTAGAAAAGTTTCTTTCTTATGTTATGTATTGTGCTTGTTCTTTCAGTTGAGTACAACATAGAGTAAGTGTGCTCTCAGCAGTTTATGTGATTCTCTTGATACTCAGGCAACAATAAATGTGGGTGGACACGTGCTAAGTGCAACAACCATAGAGCATTTCATTTTAAGACTTCCCTATCACTGGAAATTTGTAAGTCTTGTCCATTTCAAGCTAACTTTTCTGAGAATGAGAATAAAGGGTTAACCTCCAATTTTCATACAGACATTTTCCAAGGGAACAAAAAATCATGAAATGACAGCAAGAAGCATGTATGGACTGGAATTGTCAGAACCCCTAGTAACATTTGCTCTATCTTGTGGAACTTGGTCCTCTCCTGCTGTAAGTTGATGAGTAGTTTACACACTATCATGCAACATTTCATAACCCCACAACTAAGGCACTGTCCCATTTCATAATTTACATTTTTGTCTCATTGCATCATTAAATAAGATTTGAAAATTACAATTACAACCAGCTCTTTTCCCATTACGTGGGGTTAGCTACTGTTAGCTAATAAAAAGTCCTATATTGGTGAGTTAACTACAAATTAAAGGGTGCATAAGAAAGACGGTTATAAATCTAAATTGTAAAGGTTTATTAAATAAACATGTCACTCAGGTTTAAAGCTCATTCTCTCTCCACAACTTTTTTAGACAAATAGACCATTCAAACTTAAGCTCATTCTCTTCTCACATTCTTGGATCAAGCCTACAGTCATGACATTCTTGGATCAAGCCCATACTCAAAATTCTAATATGCATCAAACTATACTGATTTGCAAAAGTATTTATTTGTGGATTTTTAATGAACTATGCCAAATGCAGGTGAGAGTTTACACAGCATCCCAGGTTGAGAACGAACTGGAAGTGGCCAAAAGAGAGTACTTACAAGCAGCAGTTGGAATTTCAACTTCAAAGTTTGCTATCCCAAAGCTATTGGATTGGTATCTACTGAACTTTGCAAAAGACTTGGAATCATTGCTGGATTGGATCTGCCTCCAATTACCAAGTGAACTAGGGAAAGAAGCCATTAAATTCCTTGAGAAAAGAAAAACTGAGCCCCTCTCACAGTTTGTACAAATTATGCCATATGAGTTCAGCTTTAGATACTTAATTTGCACATAATTTCACACCAGTTTTCTTTACATTGCAATTTTGTATACAGCTGTAGATCATACATATAAAGAATGTAGATGATCAACAGTTCTTCCTCTCCCTTTGGGCAGAAATTTTCAAATTCCTTAACTAAAGTGAATAAAGTAATCATTTTTTAACCTCTGGAATTTTAACCATACAAACGTGTAGCTTCTTCACAAATCTTACATGTCCATTCCAATTAAATTTAAGTCATTGTTCAACGATTATGATAAGGGGTCAAATTTTGAAGTCTTATATAAGTATAATGATAGAATATTTTATTGTTATCATATTTATCCCATATTAAGTCTCACTAGGATGTTCTCTCCTCTTGAAACACTTATTATCTTCTGTGTCCAACCAATTTGATGAGGGTATGCATTAAATGGCATCTCTTACATGTCAATCAATGAACAATGGTGTGTTCACATGTACTGGAGATTACAGTTCAACGTCCAAAGCAGGACTGATAACGAAATTCTATAGTTACAGGCACACACACTGTGGTCCTTCTCAAATGCCAGGTTGTTTTTGGTAAGGCAGAAGAGGGATCTTTCTTAAATATATTTGATGCAGTAAAGCGCACTAATTGCAGTTCCATTATGGTATTCACTGCGCTTTAATTACTTGCCAGCACCAAGCAGACTTTACTGCAGAAAAGCTGAATTATTAACTAAGTTTTCTCTTTGTATTCTAGTGTTGCCAACTACCAAGAAAACACATATTACATGACCAAATTTTGATTCCTTAGTTAGATTTTGCTGGTCCTTACCCCACTTGCTTAACATTGTTTTATAGCTGGAAATTATTTTTTGTACTTTTTAATGAAAATACATATTATAATGAAAATATGTGGTTCTGATTAATTTATGTACACATCACTATTATATTTAACCATTCAAGATTAATTTCATCAAATTAATTCTACTCAATTATAAAACAAACTTACAATTTCTTTCTCATATGGTCATTTGTCATCTGTTTCCTATTTATTCACTGATTTGTTGATGTATTTAAAAAATTAAAATCAAAGAGATGAAGTGTTGAATGTTACAACCGTATTTCCAAGGGATGAGATATTGAAGAACATATCAGTTCTGTTGCGGTTACTAATGGCTGTGAGTGTATGGCTTCATTTTGCTAAATATATTGTAAAATAAGGTTCTAGGCTATGCAATGAATCTGGCTTAAATGAAATGAATAGATTAATATAAAAGCGATTGATATGCTAATGATATAAAACAATTACCCAAGGTAATTTTTTTTCTTATCGAGACAATCGTTTACCTTTTCATCTTGTGAAAACATGTTCGGAATTTAACATTATCTTAGGAGTATGTTTCGTTACCTATTAAAATTAGTTATACATACGTTTGATGTGTAAAAGCTAATCTTAATATAGCCTTCAAATTATGCATGTTTAACCTTAGCAGACTCGAAACCAAACATGCGGTGAATCATCTTTAATGTCTCATTTTTAGTTGAAAATAAAAATAGTGTTACTTAATGTGTAAATGTAATTTTAATCATTTGGAAAATAAAAGTGTAACTCTAATCCTCTAATAGTTCAATTAGTTGTTTGTATTTTTTTTTTTTTATCTAAATCACAAGTATTTTATATAAAATATGATCTTGTTTGATTTAGAATTATTATATACAACAATTCTTTTTAATATTTAAAACAATTACGGTATTTAATATTTGAATTCAAAATAAACAATGATATTTTTATAAATTTCATTATCACTTTATTTTGAAACTAGTATGCATTAATCAATAACAAATTTGTAAGGAAAATATTTTTTTGCATCATTAGGAGGAAACATTTTAGGTATTTTTTAAAATATTTAGATTATTTTCTTAAAACATGTGTATATAAAAGATAAATGAAATAATTATATATTATATTAAATTTTAGTAATATAACTAATAAAATCACATTTATAAGAGGTGTGTGAGGATAGAATAAGAAAGAAAAACATTTTGTAACAACAAAATTGACACCTCAAGCCATGGGGTAGGGCTGAGGCCTAGGGTTTAACAAGTTTGCCATCCATAGCCAAGACAGAGCTCATAGTGCGTAGCTGATCACAACTGGAATATAAACTTTGTCTTATGTATGAAATGAAGAAAAATATATAGCTTTGATATCTGTACTGAACTGAGTTTTAAGTGGTCCTTATATTTTTCTCTTTTGCAACAGTGGACATCCCTATCCACCACACAACCATACCCTCATTCAAATAATGAACCAAAGAATCTTCCTCTCTCACTCTTTTTGTTGTGCAATTGGATTTTTGCAACTCTATGATTGATGAACAAATAAAAGCATAACTAAACAGAGACATGATAATCTATAGGATTTATAAATAAAATGAAATCATAAATATATAATGAAGAATATTAACATTAACTTTTGGAACTGATATTAAACATATAAAGTGGTGGTGGTGCAATGGGTTCGCTTGACCTGACAAATGTTAATTAGTGTATTTATGGTAGTTAAGAAAATAAAAAAAGTTATTAAAAATACAATAAATACACTTATTTTTTTTATTTTTAATGCAGTTTAACATAAATTTTCATAAAAATTTATTATTTTTAAGTTTTTAGTTAGTATCCTAAAAATACTTGTTCGAAAGACCCTTTAAGAATTTATGATCCAGTTTCTCACAGTATTTGCTGTTGAATTCCGAGTGTATAAACTCCTTTGTTACTCTTCAATTTAAGTGTTTATATTTGTTTTCTACTTTTATGGACTCTCAGTTTTCTTCCATTAATTAGTTATATCTGAAAGAGTAATATGATATCTTCTTATAATATTTTTGAATGTCTTATATAAAAAAGAATTACATTAACAGTATATTTAGAATTAGTCAAAACACCCAAAAAATCAAGTTTTTCTTCATTTAGTAAATAATGGAATTACTATATATATATTTCACTTACACTTGGATTCATTGGCTCAACTCAACTGCCAAATAATTCGGAAGCTAGTTGCCTAGCTTGTTGGGGGACCCTATACCTATTAAAAAAAGCCTCAAATTGTTTCTTATCACTCGTGTACTTTTGTGAACATACAGATTTTATTATTAGCATTTTACAATAAGCCAAAAATAAAATCATATAATTCGTTTACAACATCTACAGTATATCTTAAAATTTTAGGGAAAATTGAGCATGTTATAATTTTTTTTGGAAAATATTTATTAATGTAATAAATATTTTAATTTTTAATAAAATATTATCACCTTTCGATTGTTAAAATTAAATTGAAAGAATACTTCTATTATAAATAGGTAGTTAAAAACTTCATTTTCACCTCATTCTTTGTAATTAAATCAAATTTAAAAAATTAAATTAAATTAAATTAAAACATTTTTAATCTTATTCAAAAAAATAGAGGATTAATTTTAAATTTGGTTTGTCTAAAAAGTATTTTTTATAAATAATTATAAAAATTTTAAATTGATTTTAATTTTTTTATTTTCAAAATATTTATGCTAGAAATTATAAAATAATAAGATATTTAAAAACAAGAAATAAATTAATATTTTCGTAATTGCTTTGAAAATAAAAACAAGAATTATTTTCTAAACAAATTATTATAATTCTATGTGTAGTATCCCAGCCCAAAAAAGTGCCTTTTTTTTTTGCATCGTAATTGTTTCTAATCGTATTACTCTTTTTTTTTTCCCTATATTTAGCAACGCATTTTTGGCTTACGAAACATATTAAATGGGTTGGGCTCATTCTTTTCTGAACCACAAAGGCTTTGATGGACAAGATTGGAAAGCCCAAATCCTTTTTCGATGCATATGCGGTCCTGTTTCTTGATGGGTATATTATAAGTCCAACAGTTGTTGACCAAAACTAAAGTCCAACAGTTGACTTTGACTTGAAGGATTCCTCGAGCACAATAAGGAGTGATAATTTTTTTTTTAATATTATTGTTATCATCGTTATTATAGTGTATAAATCTCGTTGGGTCGTAATGTTTGAATAAACCCTAAGTTGTAATTTGTTGTGTTATGTCAAAAAATATTTTTTTTAAATTAATTTTATTTATATATATTTTTAAATAAAATAATAATAATATCAGATATCAAATTTTTCTAACAATAACTTTAAAAAATAAGCTTAAATTTGTAAGAAGCAAAACTTACTGTTTAAAACAACAATATAAAAGAACTTTCAATTTAACTTGAAATCTTTTCACACGTATTATTTTATTTATATATACGTGTATGTTATAATATTTTGTTTAATTATATTAAATAATGTTTTTATAGGCAAAACATGTATTATTAGAAAGAATTGTATTAAATAATGATCATATCAGTAAGAATATCTTTAAAGTTTTTTAATTAGTTTTCAAAATAAAATACAACATTGATTTTCTCTCAACAGTAATTTATTTCCATTCTTGTTATTGTTTTGTTTTTTCAAGACCATGTTTGTTTTGCGCTCACTGCAAGTAACGCGTCAATTCTAGAAGCCTTATGCTGAACAAGTCCAAATGGGCATTTATCACATTTTTGTGACCCCAAAAAGGGAAAGCATATAACAAAGCAACACAAGAAGACAATAACTGATGTGTATACAAACTATTAGTTTATAACAGTACCTTCTCAACAGACAACTCATACAAATTTTCACAATAGTGTATAGAACATCAATTTCTCTTAATTAATTAATTATTGTCCACAAATCTATAATTATACTGATAATTACTAAATTAATTTTTTATACCTTTATTTCCCTTGACTTTGATTCCGACGGAAAAGGGAAGCATGCACGATCTAACACAAAAATATAGACAATTTTATTGATGGCATGAAGGAAAATCGATAGAAAAATTCAGAGCACACTATTCATTAAGGTTTTATCATCATATAGAGCTTACTTTGTTTCCTACATGCAATCGCTTTATCATACTCTATTTCAAGTATTATTCATATAATAATACTAATAATAATAAAACCCATCCATATCTTTATATTTTATATTATTTTATGTAGGAGTTTTACAATGCATCCTCATCAATCATTATCCAAATTCCTCAAAACAGAAGATGTTTTTCTTAAAACAAGAATATGCTTTTATTTTGTAATTATTTAATTAATTATTTTAATTAATGTTGAATTGGCAACCACTTCTAGATTCTAAGATCCCCCTCTCCTTACCGTCACTCTAAAATGATAATAATCCATGATTTCATATTTAATAGTAGCTCCTAATTGACCAAGTTAAGGGTAATCAAGTAAATAAATATATGGGACACGAATTTGCCTTATCTACCAATTGATTAATAACTAATATCAAACATCCACATACGTGTACACATACATTATATATATATATACCTCACATCAAATCGAAATACATCATAATCTTCTGGAAGCAATCAAATTAGATAACGGAACGCTATTACCACTTATTTTTAATTAAAACTTCAAGTAAATCTATATAGCGTGCTCAAACATATTTTTCTTAAAGAGACTAATTATCAAATGAGGTAAACGAGAATAAATTATTAGCATTTAGAAAAAGATTAAAAAATTTTAACAATATTTTCCTTCCAGATTTTGTAATTATCAAATGATATTATTATTCGATACTCCTCTTTATCAGTTTATTTATTATTCAATGAAGTGTATTCCACCTTTATTAGTGTACGCAGCATTACAAAATTGTATTCGATTAGTACATAATATGAAGAAAATGTTATGAAATAATAGTCTACTAATATTTCTAAACGTGGACATGAATATAATTAATGCAGCCCTGGAACTCCAATTCAATCCCGGTGTCCCCACGCAAATTTGCTACATTACAGATCATTTTAGGCACAAGTGCAAGTTACATACCATTACATACATGCTTACCAAACCACATTATACAATTCACCCATGTGGGTCAACAATTAATTCCATGATTTCTATATCCACACCTCACAGGGTAGCTTGCAAAGAAGTAATAATTTTCTCATATAGAATAACGAACGGTATTAAAAGGCGGCTTAATTAGCGTATTCCACAACAAGCTAGCTGCTTCCCATGCCAAATGGTCAACAAAAAAATCTCTTACTTTTTTCCCATATGATCCTTCTCCTCACCTTCCCTTAACCATATACTTGTCTCTATACTATATATACATGCACATCTATCACACAAACATTTTGCTAGTAACCCAAGACACATAATTAAGCTTAGGTTTATATATGTAAGATGGAAGTGGTGGTGCAAAGTCCTAGTAGTCCCACTATGGATACTTTCGATTTCGGTGGTGCCATTAGTTCCTCATATCTAAGTGCTCCTTCTTCACCAAAACGTTTTGGTGAATACAATTACTTAAGCGCTCCCGCGAGTCCATCTAGATTCTCCCAATTATATAGTGAATTTGATTACTTTTCCTCAACAACCCCAATTGAAGCAGCCGCAGCTGATGATGATGATAATGGTGATGGTTTCGCGTTTTATGTCAATCGTGAATCAGACAACTCCTCTCGCTCAGCTGAAGAGCTCTTCGATGGTGGCAAAATCAAGCCTTTGAACGATTCTTCCGGCGACCCTTCTGCTGAACAAAGAAGAGGGAGAGAAAGAGATAGAACTTCGACAACAACGTTGTCATCATCGAACTCGGGTCGTAGGGTCACGCGATCACACTCTCCTTTTAGAAAATCATCACCGCGCTACACGTCGGAATTAGAAGAACACCACCGCCAACAACAACCTAGGAGCAACAAAGAGGAGACAACAACAACAACCACCTCGTCCTCTAATTCCGGAGCTTCACTTTCATCAAGTTCTTCGAAGGGATCAAGAAGGTGGTGGCTGAGGGATTTTTTGTTGTTCCGTAGTGCCTCCGAAGGAAGAGGGTCAAGTAAGGATCCATTGAAGAAGTACTATAAGAAGAATGAAGAAGTTAAGGGGTCGAGCTTTAGATCCTCGGATTCATCTTCACCACATGGGTCGAGAAGAAGGGGACACGTTTCGGCACACGAATTGCACTATGCCATGAAGAAAGCGGAGTCTGCGGATATGAAGAAGAGAACTTACTTGCCATACAAACAGGGGATTCTGGGCAGGTTGGCTGGATTTGGACTCTGACATGATGATGATGATGAAAAATTTTCTTGGATCTTTGTCCAGTTGTTCTTTTTGTCTTTTGGTTGAAAAGTTGTATTCTTTTGTTTTAAAAAAAATGCACTAGCCCTCGACGACTCGACGAGGGTTTCTGCTGTAATTGTATTATAAACAGAATCATTTGTCCTTATGCTTCTAGTGTGATTATTATGTATGACATTGACACATGATATGAGTAAAATATCACCACGATGAATTTTAATTGAAAAAATATATTCTTATTCACCCGTTTTATGATTTTTTACGAGAAGAGATGAAAAATATATATTATTTTAAGAATATAAATATGTGATAAAAGGATAAAAGATAAATAACAAAAATATATTATGAGAATATAATCATTATTTTAACATACATATATTTATCACTGTATTATCATGTCCAGCATTATGAGTACTTTTTTAGAACCGTATTTAGCTGGAACGATATCACCCGTCACTATTTTGAGTATTTCGATTGACATAATATAGGATAAAATATATTTTTAATTATAATAAATATAATTAAAAAATTAATTTTATTCTTTTAAAAATTAATTAATTTTGATTCTTATAATTTTAAGTTTTTTTTTTTTTTTAATTTCATCACTGCTTATTAGTATGTAAAAGTCTTGTGTATTTAGATATATCATGTCACATACTACTTTAAAATAAGAATAATGTTTATCATACATTTTAGTTTTGAAATATATGACATGAAAAAAAAGGAGATAAAAAGAAAGAGATAATGCATAATGCGGCATGAAAAGAAAATAAGTAGAAAAAAATGAGATAGAAAATGCAACATGATTAAATATAAATTATATCATTATTAATTGACAATAAATGTTATTTATTAAAACATAAAATTTATAAAAATATAAAATATAAAATTAAAACTAAATTTAATCATACTTATAAAATTTTTAAATATATTTAAACCTATTATATACAAAGGCATATTCTGTGTTTACTAGAGCCTTATACAATTACAATTAATTAATTAAGATTCATCATGAAAGCATAATTTTAGTGGTATATATACATACAAATTATCATAGCAGTTGCAGTTGCAGTCCAAATTATCAATATATAATATATTTTGTTAAAATATATGCGAGTGTTATCTTTAAGCACTTTGCAAGTTATTGGCAACATATATAAACAGTTGATCCTAAATATTTAATAATTTGATTCTTATCAAGCATGGTTCTAATAGCATTTACATGAGTTCACTTTTATATAATCGTAAAATTTCAAATTCATATTTGATGACGATCTTGTCCAATATGATCGATCTCAAATAAGTCTAAAACTCTAAATTAAGTTTCCTCTCTTTGGGATCAGCATGAACTCTAACAAAGTATGAGTATGTGAAATATCACCATGCCCAGTAACATTAAGTGTGCTCTTAATATGAAATTTGAACATAGGTGAGTCACAGCTAAAATACAAAATTATTTTTGTGAGGTAAAATATAAGGTAGAATAGGCTTATAACTTCTGAGTATTTCATAAGCACTTGGCGAGAGGGATGTAAGTTGTGATTCTTCTTTTCAACATATGCATGAAACGTTGTATGTTTGCAGGCTAAGTAGTGAGTCGTTTGTAACATAATCTGAGAGGTTGTGAGTTTGAACCTTTTTCATTTAGGTCTAAAACAAATGGTAATTACCATCTATTAATATACTATTTTTATTTCAGTTCCGATAAAGTGGATAAAATTTGTTTTCATTTATTTGTTCATATAAAAATTTAAGACAATATTAATTATTAACTTTTCAGCAATACCATTTTGCCTATATGATAATTATAAGTACAAAAAGTATTTACACTGCTTAAATAGTCCAAGTGTTTTTTTAAAAAAAACCACTAATAAAGTGTAAAATGGGAAGTTTTATAAATACTTCTAAAAACAACTAATGATTTCTTTGATCTATGTTTTTTTTTTTCTGAATAGATAAATAAAAAGTGAAGCAGTGTTGTTTTTTTTTATTTGGCCAACTATCATGCAAGTTGAGTTTTTAGGGATGAATTATTTTATTCTTCTAAAGCCGTTGGCTGATTATATTTATTTATTTTGGGGAGGGAGAGTGAAGCTGAAATGCAAAATTCATTGATAGTAATTGTCAATTTCAGTGGCTACTTTTATCTTGACCGAGGGTTGCAATATAATCAAATCTAAATACCCACCTACCCTTTCCTAAATCCTTATGGGCAAATGTGTGCCACTTTTGGCTTCTTGCCTTCCAAATTTATGGCAACTATAACCCAATATATCCCTCAAAATATAGAAAAAAGCAATGAAGCAATTGCATATAAAAAATTGTATGCTTTACTTTTTTATTTTAAATTACTATGTTAATATTTTATAAACAAATAATTAATGTCTTTCTAAAAAAAGTCCAGTTTAAATAGGTTTCTACCGAGTGCTTGTAAAAAAATTATTTTTTTTCACTAGTTAAAATCAATTTATACACTTTATATTTTAAAAAAATTCTATAAAATTAAAGAACATAAATTAATTTTAATTTATGAAATAAATTTAATTTAATTTTATCTTTTCTTTTCTTAGAAATATTTCTTCACGTCCTAAACTGAGCTAGACTCCAACTCAAAGCAGTTTAAACCTAAACAAAAGAGGAAAAAAATTATTCGTTAATCAAAGTAATAAAGTAGCCTTAGATACCACTGATTAAAGCCCCCAACAAGAATCGAAGCAAGCAATTGTTCTATGATCACCATCTTCCTGAGTGTAACAGACTCATTTTGAAGCTGAATTTAAAAAGGACGTTTAAGGCATCGATCTTTATCTTTGTGCTCTTGTTGACACAGATTTAGGTCACGTCATTCTCTCTGTCTTGTTCGATCTGGGAGAGATTTATATCAGCATCTTTCTTTTATTTATAGCATTTGTCTCACATTAGACTGTTTCAAAATGATAATTATATTTTAATTCCGCGTCACTTTAAAAACACACAAAATAGTTATTAAATTCACCATAATTCTATACTACAAAAATCATTCTACATATATCAGATCAAAAAATTATTGTACATGTCAATATCGGAAGTTTTAAATTGCATGCTGCATTCATGATGTGGTACGTTTGTTTGTGAAACAATGGCCTTCTTGCTGAATTGAACACGCAATTTTTTTCCTTTTAAATTTTATATATATCAACAGTTAAAAACATGCCCCACCACAGCAATGAAACATTATAGGCTTTAGCACTAACCTGCTTGGATACGAATGTGCCCACCACGTACCGCCAGCATTTTCTTATCATCTGTATTTGTTGCTCCATAGCCATTGTCACTGACCCCACCCATGAATTTAGAGAGTCAATCATTCATTCTGCTGAAGTTAAATCCAAATTCTACAACAGTTGTCAACAAAAAAATTGGAGAGAAATGGAATTGCAATGCTATGCACTGTGAATCCCAATTTTGCTAAACATGTCGATACAAGAAATGCTTGCAAACGTTAGTATATATGTACACTTTATTTACAAGAGATAATGTTAATTACACTTTTTATAATACTATTTTTGTAATCTTTTTCATTCTATTATTTGTTTTAATATTTTTTTTTATCTCTTTCTTAAATTATAAAATGTAATATAAAAGAATTATGAAAGAATAGTATTATCCTTTGCAAATTTATATTTTACAACAAAAAATAAATTATACAGATGAAGCATGACTTGCTAATATGTGATGACGACTCCTCTTAGGGCTTGTACTAAACACTTCAGTCCTTGAACTCTTCAGAATTCGCTCCTTCTCCACCTACCTGGATGCAAACTCACTGGAGATGATTGTTTAAACTCAACTTTTTTCATTCTATTAGGCTTTTAATATTGACATGTATAAGATCATAATTGATAACTATATTATCTTAGAAGAAACTTGGAAAAAGGCCAATAAAGCATGTAGACATAGAAGGTGGCTACCAATGGTGGTTTCTAGCAATAATAAGAATAAAGAAGGAAAAAAAAATGAACAAATGAAAGGTTCTAAAAAAAAAAAATTAAAATGTTTAACGAATGATAATTTAAGAGATTGAAATATTTGACAGTAACAATCTCAAAAAGTATAATAAAATAATATTTTATTATATACAATATTATTTTTATTATTTTTATTGTACAATCAATCAAACATATAACTTAAACATTTTGTCGTTGAATGTTGATAGTGTATAGTTCAAAATACTAAAATAATGTATAAAGACAAAAGTTAACAACTAATATAATATCATTAAAATTTTAAAAATTAAAATATTTTATGTTTTATTATTTTAAGGACTAAAATAATAGTTTAGTTAAAAATAATCTTCTATTAAACATGTCTGAATAATATATGAATGAAATAATATACAATAAATAATTTGTAATTTAATATATAATTTATTTAAATAAATTAATTGCTATAATATAACTGTATCTTAATTATCATAATTTTATTATTTTATTTAGAGTTGACAAAATAAAATATATAACATATTGCTCAAATAAATTAAATTAAAAAATTTAAATATAATTTGTATTTAAAAATATTTAAAGTAGATAAAATTTAATTTTTTTAAATTTAAGTTGCTTAACCCGCGTTTGTGGACAAACAAAGGAAAAACGCAGCTTTTTTTTTTTTTTTTCTTGAGTTTCTAACTCTAACTTTTAATTTCCGTTTTTCTTTTAACCTTGATTTATGGGAGGAGAGCACTACACTAAAAAAATTATTTATTAACAATCTAACTTTTATTAGTATAATTTTTTTATAAAAAATTTAATTATTAAATTTGACATATTACTGTATTATTAATAGTATAATGTCAAATTTAATATAGTATAAAACAATTATTCTTAATAAAATATTTAATTTTTAAGAATAAATTATTAATTTTTATTTTTAAAAATTATATGAACACATAAATGATTAATATAATATAATGTCTAATTTATTTTATTAAGAAAAATTATTTTTATACTAATGTTTATTTTTAATAACTTTAACATTTGTCTATACATTCCAACGTAAGATAATAATTAATGTGCTGTACACGGTTACTCATAACTGATTCTATATTCGTCGGGTAAGAGGTTACTTATAACCGATCCTTGTGTGAGAAAATATAAAATATTTTCTTAATTGATATAATTTATAAAATATTATAAAAATTAATATGTTCAAATTTATTAAATAAACGACAAGCATAGACGTGAGTAACGCCGTTAACCC